TTGGGGATTTTCAAACCTCTTAAGAGTATGTCTGTAATACATATTCAAATAATGTAGGATAGACGCTTGAGGAGCACCAAAAAAATCAGTGATTCAACCCACTTGATGTGCCAATTGTTGGTAACTATGATTAGTGTTTTGAATCAAAGGATTGAGTACAATACCAATTTTTTGTGTAAGCATGATCATCATGTTGTGATTACTCTCATCCATTTGTTGCCTCACAAATTGCAGAGAACTAGTGGTTAAAGATAACATAACTTTAGGGATATATGTTAGCTCTCCTTGTGGTTGTGTCATTCGACTAGGGCTGCTTATAACAGACCCTGATGCTAAGTATGGATTGATAAGGGACACAATAGTCATTTCATTATCTACATAGATGTACCCACTAGTTTAAATGCCTTCCATCAACATTGTTGGCATGCCATAAGGATATTCCTTACTACCAGAGAGTAGCATAAAACTTAGGGGAAAGGAAGTCCTAGGGTTTCCCATTACTGCTTGGGTGGCCCTGGGGATAGTTATGATACTCGCTGAATATAGTGGGTAAACTTTCATTTCAGGTGATATCATTGACACTGATATCTGACTTACAACAGAAGGAGTTACTCCAACAGTTGTTGAAGTTACTGCTCCATCAACCGTTGATTCGGTTGATTGTTCTTCTACATTTGGAGCTTTGTTTTGGGGAGGGGAGATTCTTTAACGTCATATGAGCCATTTCAGGAAGAGTTTTACCACTCTTCAGCATACATACTCAACAATTGAAGGCATTTCATGTATGAAGAACTAATAAACAATAAAAGATACAACACTTTTCTGCATAAGTTAAAATTTCTCGCACAAAAGGGTTTCACTGGGCATGCCAATTTGTTTGCTTCTATTTTTTGTAAACAATCACAGGTTTTAGTTCAATTAATGGATTAAACTAGAAAAAAAATCCTAAGGAGAATTTTTACATAAAAGTACGACGAAAAGTGTTTGTGATTGGAACTTGGATGTTTGAATATCGACAACTTGAACATAAACTCTAACTGAAACAATGTAGAATTGCTTTGGAAGAAAAAAATAGACAAAAAACATAATAAATATCATTAAAGTAAAATGCTTCAATTAAAAGACTTAAGGAATTTAAAGAAAGGACGTAGACACATACATTTCTCACAAACTATTTCTCTGTATGACTTGGATACTTTAGTTTTATAGAGAATATTTGATGAATTTTGCGACCCTTGATCACAATAATGAGATCAAATTATATACTAATACAATGTTAACCTTCAACAACGATTATTTCCACATAACTCGACATGCATCCTCTTACGTGGGAGGCAGTCTTCTAGTTTTTTTCCGCTCGTCTTCAATGTTTAAAACTGTTGAAAACTAACCAGCATATTGATAACTGCCTTTGAGCCTCCTAACTACCTATGTCGAGAGTCTCTGGTCGACTCCTGGTGTTGAAATACCCTCAAATCTTTTAATCTTTAGAGTTAATAATATACTAAGTCCTTAACATCTAATGAGAACGTCGAATTCGACATCTCTACACCATATCTTGATGTCTAATCGCTGATTTGTGCAAACCTTTTTGAGATTTTAGACATGTTTTGATGAGACAGTGATCCTAATATTGTGGATATGTTTCTGAGACTCTTCCAAACCAAACCTGGTAAGTTAGTCGAACTATCTTGGTCGACATGACTAATGTGTCAAAGGGTGGGTCCTTTTAAACTTAGTCATTTTTAAACATGATCATTATCATTCTCTTTTGAATTCTTCAGCTACAAAACTCCAGGCTAACAGCAGATCCACTCCGTGCCACCGTAAAAAAAACGGAGTCACCACTTAAAACAGTTATCGAAAACCTTTCATCATTTCTGATTCTTTCGAGAGTTAGAACTTCTGATTCTAGTTATCGAATCGGAATAATAAGTGTTACAATTTAATCTTTTAATAATAGACGACAATCATTTAGGTTTTTAAAAAAAAAAATTGATATTACATACTTATTTTTTTTAAAAATATAAAGAATTTTTTTAAAGCAATTTTAATTACAAAATTATTTTAAACATTTTTTTATAAAATATTATATATATATATATATATATATATATATATATATATATATATATATATATATATATATATATATATATATATATATATATATATATATATATATATATATATATATATATATATATATATATATATATATATATATATATATATATATATATATATATATATATATATATATATATATATATATATATATATATATAAAGAAATTTTTATAAAATTATTTTTAAGATATATATTTAAAGGTAAAATAAATGGCCCGATATATTTATTTATTTAAGTAAATAATTTTTTTATGTTTTAATCATGTTTGTGTATATTTGCTATTCTCTAGTTTTATTAAAAACAATTTTGATGTTAAAAATGGAAATAAAATTTTATGTCGGTAACTTCTTTTTCTTCTCATTTTTTCCATACTTAAATTATTCAACTCTAATTATATTTAAAGTCTTCACCACGTTCTAAATATTTATCACCCAAAAGCCACCAACCAAAGCATCAAACTTTTAATAATTATCAGCATTAATTATTAGTATTTTTTCTCCGTGCGATTATATGTAGAAAAGAATTAGAATTTTTATTGATTCAATAATTGAATATATAAAAATTAATGATGGAATAATAAATTAAAATAATTAATATTAAATATTAATTAATATATTAAATAATATTTATTGAAAAGAGAAAAGAAAATAATATAATTAAAAATTATTTAACTGAAATTTTATTTAAAATTTAACACTTAAATATATATTCTATTTTAATATATTAAAAATTACTAATTATTATAAATTATCACCAAATTTATGAGTCTAAAGTCTTAACTAAACCTATTATTCTTTTTCTTTTATATATATAAAGTATTCCCACTCATCATTATCAATATTTTAATATTATAGAAAATCACATCAAAATATTTTTCTTTATAACTCTACCCTTTAAGAACTTTCCACGCATATGCTAGGCAAGTTCACTCCAACTTATGGAAATTGACTTCATAGTATTTAGGAAAAGTCTTTCGCAAAATAAAAATTAGGTAGTACTTCCGAAACATTTTTTAACAGTATTCTGATATATAAAATAAAAATTAATGTAAAAAATAATTTTCGGAACACTTATAAATTTTTTTTCGATATACAAAATAAAAATTTAAAAATAGTTTTTAAAATATTTTTAAAAAGTCTTCCGATTTATAATAAAAATCGTATAAAAATTAATTTCTGAAATATTTTTACAAAATCTCCCGCTATACAAAATTTAAAAAAAAAAGTAAAAAATAAAATAATAACTAATTAAAAATACATAAGGGCAAAGTTGGTATTTTTCATATGGAAGTAAAATTTTCCAACGTAAGCCGTGTCTGTCTCTGACCAAGCAAATTTGTCTTCAATGAATCTAGTCTTCTCTCCTTCTCGGAAAAAACCAATCCACATTCCTCTCTATTTCCTTTTCACATTCATATATACTCAGCTTCATTCTCATTCATCATCATTCACAAATATTCGTAACCCAAAATCTCTCTTCTCTTCTAAACTCTTTCTTTTCCCATGGCTTCACAAAATACTCAACTTCATTTCCAAGACTCATTACCTTTGATGGCAAACAAGCTAGGAGGAGACGGATTAATAGACGAGTTTTGCAATGGTTTCAATCTCTTGATGGATTCTAGTAAAGGGGTTATTACCTTTGAAAGCCTTAAGAGGAATTCATCTTTGTTTGGATTACAAGATTTAAGCGACGAGGATTTGAAAAACATGATCGTGGAAGGTGATTTTGACGGGGATGGTGCTCTTAGTCAGTTGGAGTTTTGTGTCTTGATGTTTAGACTTAGTCCGGAACTCATGGATGGATCTAAGTTGTGGTTGGAACAAATGTTTCAACAAGAAATTAAAGATTTTTTCTAATTTTTTTCTTCGAATTTAGGGGAATTTTAACATTGTAAAAACAAGAAAAAGTAGAAATGTTTATTGATATGAAAATGGAAGAAGTGATAAATTTTCTTTGATACCTTTCATTCGTTCACGACAATTGATAATATTAAACAGTGTATGGAATCTAATGGTAATTCAAATAACTGAATTCCATAAATCTGGAAGTGGAAAATCTTTGACAGCTAATAGTATCTAAATGATATCATTACAATTTGTGGGAGTTTCTTATTCTGCTTTATTGAGTGAGGTATCGTGGAAAGAGCTGTTACATCAAACGAAATCTTCCAACAGTTTGGGCCTGTTGGTGTTCCTCTTAGACATGTTCACAACCATTGTATCTGGGCCTCCACTTGTGCTAACATCCCATGGTACTTGGAAAGACACCTTGTTGGCAGGATGGTGAATAGAGCCAAGCGACTCCCAGGATTCCCTGCTAGTGTCTTATGGGACTAAGCCAGACCATTGCGCGAGGATCGTCTTGGTAGGGGGCTTAGTGAATGAATCCAGCTTGGTGTCATGGATGGAGAGGGGAGTTATAATAAGGTGATTGTCTATGGAAAGAGGTGGTATTGGTGGTGACAAATGGAATGGGGCCATGGTGAATTTTGCAAGTGATGGGGAGGTGTTTGCTAGCAATTTTCGACCAAATAGAAGGGTACAAATCAAAGGTTATCATCAAATAAGAAGCAGCGTCACGCCATTAATAGCTGGACAAATTGGCACACCTAGTGAGACACATTGTGTTAATTTATTATTATTTTCATGTTGATTTCCTCAACTTCAACACCGAGAGTGTATGATTTTAAGAAGTGGTAGGAAAATGGTGGACCCCAAAAATACTGGTTCCAGTGGGCACACGCCCCCAGAAGGGAGCACAATTGCTTCTCAATCCTCTAACATCAGTATGTCTACGTCAAGTACTGTATTTATAGTGTCGAATTCCAAAAGTGGTTTGACGTTCTCACCAAATCAACCTGGTACTCCATGCCACCTGGGACAAGTGGTTATGGATCATATATACCTAGTTTCACCAGACCCATGTTTGGTGGAGAAAGAAACTATGAAATGCCAACATCGTTGATAGAGGTTTCGACATTTTCTAAAAACATGACCTCAGTGTTTTCACCGTACCATAGGCCGGGACCTATGGGGAACCAATTTGGTCATCCGACTGAGTTGAGATTCCCATCCAAAGAAATGCCCACTTTCACCACAAGTTATGCTGCTATTATGAGACAACAAATGGATGAAAGTAATCATGAGATGGTCAATATGCTTACTCAACAAATAGGTGCCATACTTAGGCCATTAATCCAAAGTTTGACTCAGAGTTACCAACAATTAGACACTTAAATGACTCAATTAGGAGACTATTTAGGAGGTTCTAGAGTACCAGTTCGACCTATTAGGCAACCTCGACCAGAAGCATATGTGCGACCAGAAGAAGTGGTTGAAGAGACTATCAACTAGGAGATTGAGACTCTTGAAGGGGTCGAAGAGATTCCCAGGGTAATCGAACGTCTTCCTATCATTATGGTTGATAGAAACAAGAATGTTGACCACATGGTCAGGAAGGTTTGACAGGACGTGTTAACCGGAGAATATAACTTAGAGGCTATTGTCTAACGTCTGATGATACATAATGGTATGAATAATGGTTTCCATATGCCTACTTATTCTTCACCATTACCAGATTTTGTTTTATAAACATATTTTACCTAGAGGATGGAAAGTCCAAAAATTTACTAAGTTTACTGGTAATGCTGAAGAGTCAACATTCAAACACATTGCAAGGTATCTAACCAAAGCCGATGATATTGCGAATAATGAGGATTTGAAAATGAAATATTTTCCAAGTTCTCTCATAAAGAATGTATTTACTTGGTTTACAATGCTCCCTCCACATTCAGTTCATACTTGGACTCAGATGGAGAGGTTACTCCATGAGCAATTTTATATGGGACAGACAAAAATAAGCCTCTTAGAATTGTTAAGTGTGAAACGGAAAGCATCTGAGTTGGTTGATGTCTATCTCAATAGATTTAGGCTCTTTAAGGCTAGATGTTTTACGCAGGTCCCTGAGCATGGGTTAGTCGAAATGGCCGCAACAAGTTTAGACTATTCTATTAGAAAGAAGTTGGATACTCAATATCTTATGGATATGGCACAACTAGCAAATAGAGTTTTCCAAATTGATTGTTTAAAGGCTGAAAAGCCAAAAGTAGTAAATACCACAAGAAAGGGAAAGTTGCTTACGTAGCATTTGAGGAGAGTTTCTCAGATGACAATGAGTATATCAAAGAAGTTGAGGTTAATGTGGTTGAACTTCAGCCATGACCTCCCTATGCTTGTAAACCTTTAAGACCATCAAACAAGAAGAATCCCATCGAAACTGAGAAGAATGGAAAATCCATCACAAAAACTTACACTTTTGATATAATTAAGTGTGATAAAATATTTGATTTGTTAGTAACTAATGGTCAAATTATTGTGCCGCAAGGCCTAAAAAAATCCTCCTTTAGAACAAAAGAAGAAAAAAAGGAATTTGTAAGTTTCATAATTTTCTTGGTCATTAAACATCTCAACGTGTCCTTTTCAGGGATTTGGTACAGAAGGCATTGGAAGAAGGCAGACTCCAATTTGGTGAGAAGCCAAAGATGTAGGTCGACAATGATCCATTGAAAGTCGAAGAGGCTTTGTATGTTGAGCCTTTGGGTTACATGATGGTCTAAGCTGCAGAGGGCTTTGATATGGAGGTTATGATGGTTGAAAATACTGAAGGTTTCGATAGGAAAGCTGAGGATGAACTATAAGCAGTATGTCCTCAGGCTGATGAAGATTTGGCTGATTTTCAAGAAAAGTGCAGATTGAAGAGATCAAAAGCCAAGTTACAGTTCTTGTCAGAATCAATTCATTCTTTTAATTTCTTATTACGGTTATTCCAAATTTTTTGGAACCACAAGTACCGGACTCACCCAAGTGCTATCAGAAATAGGATAAATCATCCTGGCACCCAATAGTTTCACAACTTCCTTTCACATGACCTCTTTCATTGTCGGATTCAAGCGTCGTTGAGGTTAAGCTACAAGTTTGAAATTCTCTTCCATAAAAATCTTATGCATACAATAATCCAGGCTTATGCCTTTTAAATCCGCTAAAACCCAACCTATTTAACTTTGATTTTATTTTAAAACTTGAACTAAACAATGCTCCTCCTTCTTCGATAAAGCATTACTAATGATTACCAGTTTGTTACCACCATCATCAAGAAACATATACTTTAAGTGAGACAACAACGTCTTTAATTCAATTTTGGACTCTTCTTCTTTAGCTTCCTTCTTCAAAATTTCAACTTCTTCCTCCCAAGATTGAACTTCTTCTAAAGCTTCAAGTTCTTTCACACATTCTTCCAATTCCTTTTCTTCATGGACATCAAGAACTTGAATAATATTATTTAATATTCTCTCAAGAGATGTTGAAAGATGAACTTCACTAGAAACATCTCAAATAGCTTCTTCAATAGCATCAACTTTAAAAGAATCTCCCTTATTATTAGAATGTTTCATAGCTTCAAAGAGATTAAAACTTACTTCTTCATCTTAAACTCGGATCTTCATCAAACCTTCATTGATGTCGATCATCATTCTTGCGGTCTTCATGAATGGTCAGACAAGAATCAAAGGTGCATCATGGTATTCCTCCATATCAATCATAACAAAATCAATTAGGAAGAAAATTTTATCCACTTTCACTAGCAAATCTTAAGCTACACCATAAGGACGGGTAATGGATTTGTCGGCTAGTTGAAGTGTCATCTTTGTTGACTTCATCTCGATGGTCCCTAATCTTTTCATAATATACAAAGGAATCAAATTAATGCTAGAACACAAAATGATCAATCCCTTACCGGCATGAATATCACCAATGGTAACCAGAAAAGTAACCCTTCCCATATCATTTTCTTTCTTCGGTAGAGTTCGTTGAATGATAGCACTACAACTTGCGTCAACCATGATAACTTCTTGATCCATTGATCTTTTTTTTTTGTAAGGATATCTTTCATAAACTTTGCATACTTTGGAATTTGTTCTATAGCTTCGGAAAATGAAATGTTTATTTGTAATTGCTTAAAGATATCCATGAATCTAGCATATTTCCTAGCATTATCCTTCTTGGAAGGAGCATGAGGATATGCTAAATTTTGAACTGGTAAAGTAGCAACTTTCTCCTTCTTGGTTCTTTTCATCTTCTCCTTTTCAACTAACTCCTCCTCATGATTATTTTCTACTACAATCTCTTCTTCAAGCTCTTTTTCTGCTGGAACTTCCTTAATTTCAATTTCTTTACCAACCTCATTTTCGACTACTCTACCGCTCCTAGTTAATATTTCTTTGCAATGCACATTAGGATTAGATTGAGTATTTGTCGAAAATGATGATCTGACATTTTAATCGGCCAATTGCTTGGCTAGTTGCCCCACCCGAGTCTCTAAATTTTCTTATAGCTGCTTCATTACTCTTTTGATTTGCCATAGATGCTTGCATGAATTGAGTAAGAGTGTCTTGTAAGTCTGAGCTTCTAGCTTGAGGTTGTGAATTTTGATTTGTGTTTTGATAAGGACTTTGTCTATTTTGATTGTTGGCATCTTGTCTCCACCCTTGTTGATAACCTTGGCTAACTTTGATAACAACCTTGGTTATTTTGACATGATTTCCTTTGTTGGTATCCTTGATCTTGATTTCCCATGTAATTTTCTTCCTCTTCAACTAGAGGACAAAATCCGGTTTGATGATCATCCTTGCATAAATCACAACAAGAAATTTGTTGTATTTGATTGCTAGGTCTTTCTTGCATTTCTCTTAGTTGTTGATGGAGCTTTTCCATTTGCTTTGTTAATTCTTCCACTTGTTGAGCGAACAATATGTTTTGGGCTAAAAGAGTTTCATTTGATCTTGATTCACTTACCTCCTCTCTCTTTTGAACCATACTTCGATCATGTTAGACTTGGTGGTCGTTCCTTTCCATTCTTTCAATAATTTCAACCGCCTCTTGCATTGTCTTTGACAAAAGTGATCCTCCCGCCGTAGCATCTAACAAAAGCTTTGGTTGTGGTTGTAGTCTATTTCGAAAAATATGCATTTGGGTAATGGCATCAAAACCATGACTGGGATATTTTCTCAACATAGATTTATACCTTTCCCAAGCTTCATTTAATGACTCGACTCCACCTTTAGAGAACACCGATATAGCCGTCTTAGCTTCCAAGAAACGTGATTGTGGGAAAAACCTTTCAAGAAATTTTTCTCCAAGCCTATTCCAATTCGTCATGAGTTGATTAGGTTGGTCAAGATAACAATCCTTAACTTTACCAATCAACGAATATGGAAATAATCTTTTAAAAATTTGTTCTTCATCCTCCTCCGGAGCTCCTATAGCACCCGTTATCTCAAATAATTTTGTGAGATGAGTGTAAGGGTATTCATGATCTAACCTAGTGAAAGGGTTATGATACAACAATTGTAGAATTCCAGTTTTCATTTATGAGTGCCTTTGGTCTGCATTTCTAGCAAACTGAGCATTCAACCTTGGACTATTTGCACAGGGACCTCTTGGTGGATTTGCTTGCATAATGATCGCACTGAATCTCACTATGTTTCTGACTCAAATATCACATGTTTTCCTTAGTTTTTATTGTCATTTTCTTGTATTATGTTCCTTTTTCCTTTGTTTTCAGGATTCTTGTCATTTCAGAGCCTTCTGTGAAGAAACGAGCCAAAACGCCAAGAAATTAGGGTTTTTCAAGATATTCTGCACTTATGGCGTTCAGCGCCGCGCTGGCTACAGGGAACGCGATGACGTGGCCCACTTTCACCCAGAGATCAACTGCCACATTCCCATGATGTGGCAGTTCCAGCCACCGCGCCCGCGGCCACCCCCACCGCGCCCGCGGCCTTCACAAAAAGCTTCCCGCTCAAAAGAAGTTAAGGGGCATGCTGGTCCTTACGCACCTCAAGGATCCTCTATAAATAGCTTTCGATTTTCATTCTTTAGTTTCATCCAAGCTTAGTACAATCTTAAGCCATATACTATCAGTTTCTGTAAAGTGATAATCTCTTCACATCGGGAAGTTATTGCGGTGTAGATTGAGTTGTAATCGAGTCTTGGAGCACTTTGGTTGAAGTTCATCATACCAGCCTTACCTTTCCGTAGATTTGTATCAGATTCAAGTCTCCGACTGGAGCAAGGTTCTATTTTATTGCATTTCTTTATTTAATTGCTCTTACCATAGTCTACACGTTTTATAGACTTTAAATGCTCTTACCATAGTCTACACGTTTTATAGACTTTAAATGCTCTTACCATAGTCTACACGTTTTATAGACTTTAAATGCTCTTACCATAGTCTACACGTTTTATAGACTCGCACTTATTATGTCTGGCTAAACTATAAAGGTTAGGATGTAATGATTGTCATCATGGTCGTGTTCCAATTATCATGCTAGTGAAAATACTCTGGGGATGTTTTGCTTCTAACTTAAGTCAATTATGTTTAAATGTTTATTGGGTAAGATCGAAAGCCGTCCAAACTAATGATACGACTTGATTATTATTTAACCAAACAAAAAGAGCGAAAGCCGTTGATTGGTTAAATGGGAATCATTGACCTTTTTAGAAAACGATTTTAAAACTATTTTCGGACGCGTTTGTAGGTTTGAAATCTGACTCTTGGTCAAAAGCCAAAAGTCTCTTTAAGTTAATATTTCCAAGTAAAATCACTTTTCCGTTAAGTCAAAACTATCAATTTCTTAAAAATAGGTTTACCTCTTTAACGCGGAAGGCACCCTTTATATGTGACAATAAAGGAATTTAATTTAAAGAGTAAACTCGGTTCTTAGTAGTCAAAAGCTACAAGTTCCCGTTAAATTGATTCTTTGCTATCAATAGAAAATACTGCCCCATAAGTGGTTTCATCTACGCATGACCGGACCAATATCTGATTGCATGATTTACATTCCAACCTGTCTTTTAAACTGTTATTTACCTCGCTCATTTACTTTGTGCACTGCACTCACATCAATATTCTTGTTCGCCTTAGATAAGCACCTTAGCAATAGAGTCGATAGATTGACAATTGGTCTCTGTGGTTCGATAATATTATATATTACTTCGATAGGCTGTACACTTGCAGTACTACATTTAGGCTATACGTTACAGATTAAACCCATCAAGTTTTTGGCGCCGTTGCCGGGGACCAACTTCGTCAAATTTCGTACCCTATTGTTATCCCGTTTAGACTAAGGCTATTCTAGCCGGTAGATGCGTAGAAATCGTAGCACCGGTAACCTAATAGATCCTTTAGTAGAACCTGAACGTTACGCTCGTGCCCGTCTTTTTATACGCAAGATAAGAAGAGCTATGGCAGAAGATCGTAACCAAAGACCGCTCAAGGAATTCGCCCAACCATCTAACGAGGAACCTAGTTCTAGTATAGTAAACCCTGCTATAACTACCAACAACTTTGAACTAAAACCCTCATTATTATAATTAGTACAACAAAACCAATTCGCTGGTCTCGCTACCGAGAACCCGAATCAACATTTAAAGGTATTTATCCAGTTAGCTGACACCCTTAAGGCAAATGGAGCCACACCCGAAGCTATCCGATTAAGACTGTTTCCTTTTTCCCTTAGAGGTAAAGCTCACGACTGGTTAGACGCCCTTCCAACTAACTCAATAACAACTTGGGAAGACCTTAGGAGAGCTTTTCTTGCGAGGTATTTTCCACCAAGCAAGACCGCTGTTCTTAGGAACCTGATCACTTGTTTCACCCAAAACCAAGGCGAATCACTTTTTGATGCCTGGGAGAGATATAAAGAACTTTTAAGAGCTTGTCCGCACCATGGCCTGGAGCAATGGTTAATCATACATACCTTCTATAATGGACTCCATTACAACACAAAGATGTCCATAGACGCTGCCGCTGGCGGAGCGTTGATGAACAAACCTTACCCTGACGCTTGTGCCCTAATAGAGGACATGGCCCAAAACCACGCCCAGTGGGGATTAGAACGAGCGACAGTAGAGAAAAAGGAGAGCCATGGAGGAAAGCATGAGGTAAGTTGCATGGACATGATTAATGCCAAAATGGACGCCCTAGCTTTGAGAGTCGAGAACATGTCTCAAAACCCAACCACAGTAGCAGCAATCCAATCAGAATGCGAACTCTGTGGAACCCAAGGACATCAAACCGTTGACTGTAACCTTTTGAACGAATCTAGCTCAGACCAAGTTAACTATACCCAAGGGAACCCTTTCTCAAATACCTACAATCCTGGATGGAGGAACCACCCGAATTTCTCTTACAAAAACAAAAACCCTATCCAAAATCCCGGACCTTCGAGACCTCAAGGATTCCAAACGCAAAAACAAAACCAACCTATGCAAATAGTGCCCCCAAGACCAAACCTTAAAGAAACCATAGACACCTTTATTCAGGCTCAAACCCAGCAAAATAAGGAGTTTATGAACCAACACATTCACACGAATGAACTAGTTACTCAACTGGCAACCAAGTTTGACCAGATAATAACCCACACCAAAATGCTCGAGACTCAGATTTCCCAAGTAGCACAAAACACCTATGTACAAGTTGCACCTGGAGGACAATTTCCTGGACAAACTCAACCAAATCCAAAAGGCCAAGCAAATTCTATCACATTAAGAAGTGGAACTGCTTATGAAGGGCCTAGAAATCCTAACTTTAGCACATCAGAAAAACCTATGGAAGATGCTACGCCTAAAGACCAGGTAGAGGAACCAGAGAAACCAGAAAAGCAATCAAAACCAGAAGTAGGGAATAACACTCAACAACCTTATAAACCACCTATTCCGTTCCCACAGAGGCTGAAAAACACCAAAGTAGAAAACCAGTACCAAAAGTTTATTAAGGTAATAGAGAAACTCCATGTAGAGATTCCTTTTACTGAAGCTATAACCCAGATACCATCATATGCTAAGTTCTTGAAAGATATTTTGACCAATAAACGGCGACTTGATGATCCCAAGCCTTTAGAATGTCATTCTATATCCGAAAATAAACTCGCCAAGAAAGATAAAGACCCTGGAAGTTTTTCTATCCCTTGCATCCTAGGTAACCATATGATAGACAAAGCATTTTTAGACCTAGGAGCAAGCGTAAGTCTGATGCCTCTGGCCGTCTGTAAGAGGTTAAAATTAGGAGAACTTCAACCTACTAAGATGTCCTTACAACTAGCTGATAGATCTGTCAAATATCCCATGGGTATTTTAGAAGACATCCCTGTCAAAATTGGTCAGTTGTACATTTCGATCGACTTCGTCGTAATGGATATCAAAGAAGATGAAGACATCCCAATCCTCTTAGGAAGACCCTTCCTATCGACCGCTGGAGCTATAATAGATGTTAAGAAAGGGAAATTGACTTTCGAGGTAGGAGATGAAAAGATTGAGTTCATTTTATCAAAATTTCTAATGGCACCAGTAATAGGAGATGCGTGTTATGCCATCGACGTCATTGATGAATGTGTAAATGAGCTCGAACAAAACGAATTTTTAATCAAATTACCATCAACCCCTATTTTAGAGGATGGCGGATTTAAGAGTATCGAACCGTACATTGACGACAACCTTTTCGAATGCTTAGCTCTTACCCCTGACCTTATGCCGCGTACTGAGAAAACCACTATAGAACTTAAGGAACTACCCAAGAATCTAAGATATGAGTTTTTGGATGCGGAGATGAATAGACCTGTTATAATTAGCGCCGCTCTAAACCAAATAGAGACAAATCAACTCTTAGATACCTTGCGAAAATATCCCTCAGCTTTAGGGTATAAAGTTTCAGATTTAAAAGGGATAAGCCCATCCGTATGCATGCATCGGATTATGCTAGAAGAAGATTCAAAACCCTCAAGAGAACATCAAAGAAGAATAAACCCTATCATGAGTGATATAGTCAAGAAAGAAGTTCTTAAGTTATTAGAAGCTGGTATCATATACCAAATTTCGGATAGTGAATGGGTAAGCCCAGTCCACGTGGTACCCAAGAAAGGAGGTATCACTGTTCTGAAAAATGAGAAAGGTGAGCATGTGGCAAAACGAACAGAAGGAGGATGGCGTATGTGTATAGATTACAGAAAGTTGAATAAGGCAACGAGAAAAGACCATTTCCCTCTACCATTTATAGATCAGATGCTTGAACGTCTAGCAAGACACTCATGTTTCTGCTATCTTGATGGGTATTCGGGGTTTTTCCAAATCCCTATTCACCCAGAGGACCAAGAAAAAACCACATTTACTTGCCCTTATGGAACATTCGCTTATAGACGAATGCCCTTTGGACTCTGTAATGCACCTGCCACTTTCCAACGTTGTATGATGTCAATTTTCGCAGACTACCTAGATGGAATTATGGAAGTATTTATGGACGATTTTTCAGTGTGTGGGTTTGATTTCAAAAACTGCCTCTCGAACTTAGAGAAAATCTTAAAAAGATGTGT